GCTGGGTTTGTCCCTATTTTACCCAGCATTTTTTAGAGTGTAACTTCTCCAATCAGACTCATCCAATCAGAATTTAGAGTTGAAATCTAATTAAAAAATAAGAAATATTAAAATAAGATAAAAGTAATAGAAATAACTAAAAAAGTAAATAATATAATATAATAGTAACACTTCACAATAAGGTCTTATTATGCTAATGAATGCATTAACTGAGATTAAATAACTATGAGCAATTAATTTGTTACAGCACATATTATTAACTAAAATTAGCATTAACTAAAATTAACAATGAGCAATTCATTTGTTACACTACACGTATATTCATTGTTTTTAAAAAATACAACCGTTCATAGTTAGTTCATGATAGCTCTGGTACATTAATAAATGTTAACATACAACTTTTGATTTCAATCATGTTTTAGTAAATCAGTGTTAATTTTGACAGCAAATTTGATTTAGATTTAGTCATAGACGTTTGACTAAAATGCCATTTAGTTTTAGTCATATTTTAGTCATCTGAATTGTTTTCAGTTGTAGTCGATTACATATCATAAGATTTTAGTCGACTAAATCTACAGTAAATTTAGTCAGCTAATGGGTTTAGTTACAGTGCATTTATTAAGCATTTCTCTAAAATTTCCAAACTCATTATATAGGTTTGATATTAAGGTTTTATCATGATAGATACCGATTTACCTGCGGTGACACACAACATGCCTTTATGTTAAAATTAAATAAAACCCCTTCTCATAAAGAACAAGAACATGGTCTTCTTTTTAATGAAATACCAATGGTTATACAGGCTAATTATGCATTCTTTATAGCAACTTGTTTACCATATTCTTCATTCTTTCAAGCAGACATATTTATTTCTATAAATAAATTTAGATTAATCTTTAGGGCTACTAAAGTTTTTCAGTCAAGAGCAGTGCATGATTTTCTTTTGTTGCTTGATTAACATCAATGACTCGGACAATAGAAACTAAATTAGGCTGCTGTCCCTTTAAATGTGAATGCACAGCTGCAATGGATCAGTGGATGCAATGTACTGATACACGTTCTCCCAAATGTTTATGTTCAGGGCTACTAAAGTTTTTCAGTCAAGAGCAGTGCATGATTTTCTTTTGTTGCTTGATTAACATCAATGACTCGGACAATAGAAACTAAATTAGGCTGCTGTCCCTTTAAATGTGAATGCACAGCTGCAATGGATCAATGGATGCAATGTACTGATACACGTTCTCCCAAATGTTTATGTTCACTTAAGACGTAATCAACTGTGTTTATGTGAATACTCGTCAAAACGGACAATTCAACATCATTTTGTGTGTA